GCCGGGAGGTGTGGCCGGAGCTGCTGCTGAGTCTCCTAGGGGCGGGGGGAGCCTTCTCGCCCGGGCCGGGCTGTCGCCTGGGTCTCCGAGGGCGGAGCTGAGCTGAGCTGGACGCTGACGTCCTCTCTCTCCGTCTCATGCTCTGACGAACCTTTTCCAGGTGTCTGACTTCAGCCGCCTCGGCAGCCAGATCTCTCTCCGTCGGGGTCCTCAGCTAAGACCGCAGGTAAGGGGGCTGGGGGCCTGACTCCTGGGTCTGAGGGAGGAGGGCTGGGGGCCTGACTCCTGGGTCTGAGGGAGGAGGGCTGGGGGCCTGACTCCTGGGTCTGAGGGAGGAGGGCTGGGGGCCTGACTCCTGGGTCTGAGGGAGGAGGGCTGGGGGCCTGACTCCTGGGTCTGAGGGAGGAGGGCTGGGGGCCTGACTCCTGGGTCTGAGGGAGGAGGGCTGGGGGCCTGACTCCTGGGTCTGAGGGAGGAGGGGCTGGGGGCCTGGACTCCTGGGTCTGAGGGAGGAGGGGCTGGGGGCCTGGACCCCTGGGTCTCTGAGGGAGGAGGCTGGGGGCCTGGACTCCTGGGTCTGAGGGAGGAGGGGCTGGGGCAGGGTGTCTCTCTGACTCCTAGATCCTGAGAAATGTATCTGGGAGCTTGCTCTCCAAGGAGTGGGGCCCCACACCTGTGTATCTGAGGAAGGAGTGTGTGTGGACTGGGCTCCTGTGTCCAGGGGTCCGGGCGGGGGGGTGGAGGCTGGAAATTGGGGGAGCTGCTGTGCAGCGATTGGGCGCCCAGGTGGGTAGAGCCTGCGACGCTGGCTCTGACCCCAGAAGGGGAAGTTTATTTCCCTGAGGCTGGGAGTGGCCTTCCAAGCTTCTAGGAGCAGCAGCTGATAAGGGAGCCTTTGTAGGGCCTGAGGGAGGACATGGAGGGCGTGGAACGAAGCCGGTGTCCCAGCGCAGGTGGCTGGCTGGTGTGCTGGCTGCGGAGGGCTCAGAACCCCGAGGTCTGAAGCTACAGAACGCGGAGGCCTGGGGATTGCAGTGGAAGGGCCGGGCCACTGGACACTTTAGAATCTGGGAGCTGAATTTCTTTAAAAAAAAAAAAGTGTTATTTATTAGAGAGAGAGAGGAAGGGAGAGGGGTAGATAGAAAAGTCCATCAGCTGCCTCCTGTGCGCCCCCTACTGGGGATCAAGCCCACAACCCAGCTATGTGTCCTGACTGGGAATCCCAACTGTTGACCTCTTGGTTCATGGGCCACCCCTCCACACTGGGCCACACGGGCTCGCTGGGCTGGGCTGGGAGCTGAATTTCCATGAAGGAGGGGAACTAGCTGGCTGGGGTCCTGAAGGGGTTGGGCTCCGTGTGGGGGAGGGGGGCAGGCAAGAGGAAGCTCCACTTCCTTTGGGTTGAAGCTCTCCTGAGGCTCCTGGTCTCTGAGGTGGGGGTGGGGACGGAAGTGGGGGGGGTGCTACCCATAGGTGAGATGTGGTTAGATGTGGGTCCCTGAGGATGCAGGCACTGGGAAGGTCGGACTCCTGAACTTTTGGAGGCCAGAAATATCTAGGTCCCCTTAGGTGAAGAGGAAGTTGGGCACAGAGGCTGGGGTGCAGAGCCCTGGGCACCCCAAAGGGGGGAAGTTGAGCGAGAGATGGCTGTTAAGAGGTCATAAGGAGACAGCCTCTTGTTCTGACAGGGGTGGTGGGGAGGCACTGGAGGGGTTGCTTTAGAGATCAGTCTTTTTTTTTTTAATATATTTTTTTATTGATTTCACAGAGGAAGGGAGAGGGAGAGAAAACTAA